GGGATGAGTCCGCCGTGAAAACCATATTGGTACGCAGATTACTGTTAGAGGAAACTCACGAATGGCGCCTACCCGATGAGCCTGAATTGGAAGGGCGAAACCGGTCGTGGGCTGTCGAAGAGTTTTCAGCAACCTTGTGAGTAGCTTCCTTTATGAAAAGGGTTTACATTCCTTTAGAATCTTGTTGAGAGAGCAGGCTGTCGGCAAGGCGCTAGTTACTCAATGGTCTGATTATGTAGAAACAACAGATGACAAAATAAAGTCCTTGAGTTGCTCAGTTCGTCAGAGCTTCCACTCTCAGACAAACAGCACTGTTTTCCTTCCCAGAGGGTAGTCCTTACTGGGAGTGTGAACCAATACCTGTTGCTCTCGACTTTTATCTTTGGCCTCGTAGGTCATTGACTCCACAGTTTCGCAGTCGGAACTCCTGTCTAGTGTTTTGTAATCGAAGAGATGTATTGACCCGTAGGTGTTGTGATGACAAATCAGAAACGAGTGATGACACGCTTCACAACCAGCTGTGGAGAGCTAGTTCAGATGGCCACGATCTGTGACGCAACATTCACAAACTACGTCAGGTGATCAACCAAAACCCGATTTGACACTTTTAGAAGTAGAGTGGTAGACGAAATCGATCCAGTACTGTTTTTCTTGTCTTTTTTTTGAGCCACCCACCTAAATAATTTACTCAGCCATGACTGTATACGCCCGTTTGTCGTGAGTGTGACCGTTACTAGCACACACCTCAACAGCACCTGACCCAATAGCATGTCTATCATTGATGTCCTTACATGGTGACGGTCTTTAGTTTACCGTGGGAATATCCGTCAACCCCTCATGCTTTTCTATTCCATACACGTCGATTGATTTTCGATCCCTTGCCACTCCAACTAGGATACGCAAGCTAGCCTGGAATACACGCTATTTCCGCGCACGTTTGCACGCGATGCGTCTTATTGTCTACGGGAATCGAGACAGTCCGGTTGTGCCCGTAATTATTTCAATGCCTGCCAAATTGGTTGCCCTCTCGCGTCGATGTCTTGCCCTGGGATTAGGCACCGTGATCGTTGGATTCCCGGCAACTAGTCTACTGGCTTCCAGAGTTCGATTCTGCATCTCTTCAATGCACACGCGCGAGATGCTGGACAGGGTGAGTATTAGTTATCTTCAAATGTAGCGTTCCCAAACGAAACAAGTGACAAAGCACTGTTTTGTCAATGCTTTGCACACTCGAGCCCCCCTCAACCGAATCTACTTTACTACATGGTCCGCTTGGGTTTTGTGTGTCGAAACTGATTCACTGGTGCATAGACTGCTTCCATTTTTTCCACATCAGATTCCCACTTGAACCATTTATCCCCATTTCTAGGGGCGAGATGACTCAAGTGGTTCGAGCCCGACCTCCGCCTCTCGACTTCCCCTGTCTAGGCTTGGGCAACCTGGCAATATCCAAGCCCTCGTGCTTCCTTCGCGTGGCATGGCAGCTAGGCACCGAAAGGGTGTTACAGCTGACTGGCTGGGTTATTTTTCTTTCTGTCACCGGCGTCTTCATTATTCATATTGTCTCTCAAGGACTAGTCCTGTGATTTATGCCCACCGTTGTTCTACATCGAATGAAACGAATCTGTTTTAGCCTCCTAAACAATGTCCACTTTGTTAGAAAGACTTCGTCCCTCGTATCTGTTGTAGTCTGTGTAATGGAAACTACTGAATCAATCAATATAGAGAAGCTTCATGTTCAGAAGAAAAGAACGTCCTTGACCGTGTCTAGGAGCCGGTTTTACCGTGACCATCTGCCGATGGCATAAGTGGTGCCTGACCAAGGATAGTCCTCTTCTGATGGGTTCTCAGAACAGCAAAGAAGTGGACCAACACGACTAAGGCAGAACACAACTTGGTGGTGTTTCCCAGATGACCCCTGTCAAGGTGGGGTCACCCGTACTCAGAATCTTCCAGCCACTACTTTACCATCCCCCGCTTTGGACGAGTTGGCTCCGTTGCCGATCGTCGCTGTCAAAGATTGAAAATAGGAAGTGAGGTCAGCATAGATCCACTATTGTTTTCGCGACATACTCTGGCTCCGTTGCCGATCGTCGCTGTCAAAGATTGAAAATAGGAAGTGAGGTCAGCATAGATCCACTGTTGTTTTCGGCGACATACTCCATCAAACAAATCGTACTGTGATTGCTCTGTTGACAACACCAACTGAGGCTAGATGAAGTGAATCAATCATCTTGTGCCCCTAATTCGGAGTACGCGATCTACCCAATCTAGCCGACGTAAGTGGATGACTAACGATGTCGTGGAACGTTTCCAGGGTTAATCGCTATAAAGATCACCAGCCGGACTACTATGATGATGCGCCGGTGGCCGCAAGATCCTAGACGGTGAATATGGACCCCGCAGATTTCATGTCCGTAGTGTTTGCACTGATCCTCGTGATCGAGGTTGCAATATGTTTGGTCACTTCTGTCAATATCTCCCCCGCCCCAATTTCGAACAGTTGGTTTGATTGGTAGCTTCCTCAGATGCCTGTCCATTTGGCAGAGTAGCTGGATGAACTTACTGTTTCAAATGTTCCGTGCCTAATCAAGATGGGCAAAGGCCAGATTGCAATTTGAAAATCCCTCGCGAAGTCCATTCAAGCTCTCACGTGGCGATGTGTGGGTCACCGTGAATGTCACTGACATTACGAGTTGAACAGCCTAGTGTCCATCCAACGCTTTTCGCAGTTTTCAGTCAAACACACACTTCCGTGTGCCTTTAGGCAGTTGCCTTTCTCTAGAATCCTCATTTTGCATGCATTCCTCACTCCTGACTCCATCAATCTGAGTCACCCTGTCGGGCATCATAAATTTCCATGCTGACTCCGTTAAGGAACATAATAATAATAATAATAATAATAATAATAATAATAATAATAATAATAATCGTTCATCTGTAACACCCTTTCTGTGTCTAGCTGCCATGCCACCTGAAAGAAGCACGAGGGCTGGGATACTGCCAGGTTACCCAAGCCTAGACAGGGGA